GCCCTGGCTCAAGGGAACAGAGCAGAGCCACCACTGCCCGTTGGGTCAGAAGCCGACCGGGGAGGTAGGTTCCCACCGTGTCCAACCTGGGCACACCCAGGTGCCTGGCCAGCCAGAACATTCTGTCTGACCCAGTGAAGTGCAGTGGTTCCTGCTGGCCCTGTCTTAGGACAGACAGGCTCACACCCATACACCTCCCTCTGGTAGCACAGGCTAGCCTGGAGCTAGGCAGTGGAGAGGGGGAGAGGGCGCTGCTGAGGTTCCAGGCCCCCGTCATACCCACTTGTGTTGGGACAGTGAAGCCCCGGACCTCAGAAAGTTTTATTAGAAAGAAAAAAAGTAGGCATTCTGGCTGGGGTTTTGCAAGGTGAATAGGTGTTCGACAACTCTGCCATCCAAACACACAGCTAGAGAGACAAAAACAAACCATTCAGATCACAGCATCTCAGGATGTGGGACAGTCCAGGGTGGTACCCATGGAGGTGGGAGAAAGTGGGGTCTTTTCACTGTGTCTCACTGACCGCCACCTGTTGCTGGGGAGGGACTGGATACCCACCCATCTTTTCAGAATGCTGCTCCTCCTCCTGGCTCTCTATGTAGCGTCCACTGAAGGTATCACCCCAAACTTCCAAGAATGCCTGGTTCTTCATTCAGCCAATGGCAGCACTGTGACCTGCTACTCTCCAACTGTGTTCCCTGGGTCCCTCCCGGCCGACACCGTCCATCTGTCCATCGAGTTCTCCAACTTGACCCAGCTACCCGTGGCCGCCCTATGGGATGTCCCTGACCTGGTGGAGCTGCATCTGTCAAGCAACCACCTGGAGTCGCTGTCCTCCAATGTCCTCCTGTGGGTGCCCAGGCTGCGGGTTCTGGATCTGACCGGCAATGCCCTCCGCAGCCTGCCCCCTGGCCTGTTTCACGCGTCGGCAGCCCTGGACACCTTGGTGTTGAAGGAAAACCGTCTCCACGACCTGAACACGTCCTCCCTGCAGGGTCTTAAAGCCCTAGGTCACCTGGATCTGTCTGGGAACTGCCTGCGGTCACTGCCACCCCAGCTGTTGGCCAACCTGACTGCCCTGCGTGTCCTTGACCTTGGGAACAACCTCCTGGAGTCTCTGCCTGAGGACCTGCTGCAGGGTCCCTTGCAGCTGGACCGGCTGCATCTGGAAGGGAACCAGCTGGCGGTGCTGGGGGCCAAGCTGCTGGCTCCCCAGGGTTCCCTAAGGTACCTTTTTCTCAATGACAACAAGGTGGCTACAGTGGCCGCTGGTGCTTTCCAAGGCTTGAATCAGTTGGATATGTTAGATCTGTCTAATAATTCTCTGGCTAGCACACCCCAAGGCCTGTGGACATCGCTCGGGAGGCCGGCCAGGGACATGGGGGATGGCTTTGATATTTCCCACAACCCCTGGATCTGCGACAGCAAACTGCATGATCTGTATCGCTGGCTGGATGCCAACAGACACAAGATGTTCTCACAGAATGAAACACAGTGTGCCGGACCCAAAGCCTTGAAGGGCCAGCGGCTCCTGGCTTTGGTGGGGTCCCAGTGAGGTGTGAAGCTGTAGTGTAGTGGGGGCTGTGGCAGGAGAACATGGCACCCCACTGAGTGATGAGCCCCTCTACCTTATTGGCTGCCCATCCAAGTCACACAGGCTTCACAGCCACTTTGCCTTCCTCTGCTGTTCCTTCTTCCAGGATGCTCTGCATCTTTGAGGATGCTTCTCCCTTACTTCTCGTGATTCTTTCCCTTTCGCTAAGCCCCCAGATCACTCCTGTCTTCCCCTGATGGACCTCAGGCCACATCAACTTTATCTGGCTTCGACTTGTCTATTTTAGGGGGAGGAGTCCCCCAGGTAGTTAATAAATAACCCTCGAAATGATTGAACAATTCATGTAATTTCTTTTTGTTTTTAATTTTGTGTGTGCACATGCCAGCATGCATGCCTTGGTTTGCATGTGGAGGGGAAGACAACTTGCTAGAGTTCGTTCTCACCTTCCACTGTATGGGTCCTAGGGATGGAACTCATGTCCTCAGGCTTGGCTACAAGCCCCTTTACCTGTTCAGCCATCTCGCCACCTGTTTATTTTTGAAACAGGGTCTTTCTATGTAGTCCAGGCTAGGCTGGAACTTATCGGCCTCCTGTCTCAGCCTCCCGGGTGCTGGGATGCCAGGCAAGCACCCACCGCCCTCCCACCCTCGGGCATTCACATGCTACTTGTTCTCCCTCGAAGCCACCCTAGGTCACCAGGAGATGCAGGGTCTAGGAACCAGGGCTCCACGCTGGGGCTCCTCATAGACAGTCCTTGGGGCAGCACCACCCCCACCCCCATCCTGGGTCCAAGACAGAAATAAAATCCTGGCTGTTGTCTGGTGTCATTCTACCATGGCAAGCAGCCAGGGCTTGTGTCCTAGCTGGCTCAGGTCTCCATGTGTCCTGCTGGCCTGTGACAGTTCAAGGGGACACCTGCCCAGGGGAGCCCATGGGGCCAGGATGAGGCTAAAAACCACAGTAGGGGCCCAGGAGGTCAAGTTCTCACAGCATAGAATGTAGGGTATCCCCTGCCGATGACAAACTGAGTGTGTGTGTGTTAAGGTCAGTTTTGGGGGGTCCCTGAGATGTGGTTTCTTGGCCCCCTAGAAAAAGGACCTTGAAGGGCAGGGCAGGGTGTTAGTCTTTTTTTTTTT